TTTTTTTGCTTCCTCCTGTTGTGAAGTCCTGATTACACAAAAGTTTTTGTTCTTGATACTCTCCCACATAACTATTAGTCTTTATTCATTTTTATTCATTCTTTGTTCGGAATTTTCCTCATCCAAATTGATATCAAGGAATTTATATTCTAATTCACTCATCCATTATTGAATTGATTTAATTAATTAGATTCAACTTTTTTGTTCTTCAAATGTATTAATCTCCAAAATTTTAGTATTACTCTAGATTTCTAATTGCTGTTTTAGTAGGGCTCCTAATCTAAATTTATGTTGTTGTTTTCCTTAACTCTTTTAGGGTATTATCTGTGTTTTCCTTAGTTTGTATTTTGGGTACTTGCTTAACACGACCTTGTCTGATTTCTTTCTTTGATTTCAAGTTGTCTGTAGTGATAGAGTTGGGTGAGCACAGGGTTACTGTTCACCACCAGTCTGGCAAATCAAATCCACACGCTGCCTTTGGGAAAGAGATCAGACTCTTTGCTCCTGTAAAGATCAATAGCCTTGCACACCCTACATAAGAGTGCTCTGAATCAAAATCAATTTGATGACAGTGAGTTTTTTAGTTTATTAGCCTCTGAGATATTTTGGAGCTGTCATATATATTTATTATGTGTTGGTTTGTTATATATATATATGTTGGCAGGATGGGCATGCTACTTTGGATGCTAGTTTGTCAGCACTAGACAACTCCTCCCTCCTCCAAGTGGGTAAAGTAACTGGTGGGAATGTGGGTATAGGTCTCTGTGTTCTGGTAGTTCAGAGCAACTGCAGACTGAGTGAGAGGTGCTGTACACTGTCATGAACCACTGTTGCAGGAGGAAATGTAGCATTCACTTGTTGTACAAGACAGTAGGTAGTATGGGCAAGGTAGGGCTGACTAGTGGAGAAGCAAAGTCCTTCTCACATAGATGTGGCACAAAAAGGGGAGAAAAAGAGGAGGAGGTGAGAAAAATGAAAGAGGAAAGAGTAAACAAATAAAAACAGAAATGGCGAGGAAAATAAGAAAAACAAAACAAACTAAAACAGTGTTGCCTCATGATGCCTGCCATGCAATCCAGGGGAACACATGCTTCTTGAGGGGCAAATAACAGCCACAAGATCCATGACTGTGTTTGTGTTTGATGGCAGAGATGTGAATCTTGAGTTCAATGAGCATATAACCTGCTGTTGCAAAGGTGCCTCAGGTGTGGGCCTCAATCTGCTTGGTAATTGATGTAGTAGATGACTGTGGATGGGTGAAGGCAGCCCAAGCAAATCAGGAAGGTTTAAGGTAACAGAGTGGCAGGGAGAGCTTCACCCCTTGTCACCAGGAAGGTATGGCTGGGCCATCAGAACAAACCCTTCTTGAGTCATAGGCCATTGGTGTGGGCTTAATCCACTTGCTATTCTAGTATAGACTCAATTGGGAGAGAGGGTACCCAGAGTCCAGTATGTCCAGCCTTCATCTCACTACCTTCCTCTCTGTCTGGCTCCTTGATCCAAACAAATAATACTCTCTACTCGGTTTTTCATCTTCTTCCATGAGCTTCCTCGTCACTCTGTGGTCACGCATGCCACTAGAATCCCTGCTCCCTCCATTGTACTTTCTGTTCCCAGACTCATTTCAAATTCTTTATGCCTTGTTTCACTCAAGATCTGTCTATAGAGTGTCCCTATCCCAATGAGGATTCAGTGAAGTTACCTTTCTGTATGTTGCCCTGTTTTTTCAAAAACATAGCCAGATGCAGCATGGGGCTTTGCTACGTTGTTCTCCTCAGACATTGTATCCCTATGCAATGAGTGTTTAATCCAATTCTTCCTCCTTTCTTTTGCTGTTTAGGATTGTCCTCTGTATGTGTTTCATTCAGTTTGGGGAGCCTGTTGTTGTAGGAGGATTAAGTGGAATTTGTTAGCAGGATGGCACATCGTTCTGAA